CATCCTCTCTTCTCTCATGACAACACGCGCACGAGTCCTATCATGAAGTAAAAAGAGAAGTTCATTGTGCGTCATGAGTAACGCGCAGTAACGGGATGTCGGAAATGATAACGGCGTTATAGTTACAGTCAAAGTAATTAGTTAGATTACTCGTTACTGAAAAAAGTAACGGCGTTAGTAACGCCGTTACTAGTAACGCCGTTATTCCCATCACTGGTTAACATTAACTCTAATGTTAATGTTAACTCTAGGACTCTTGACTAGTCCTCATAGTCCTTGAATAAGGTGTTTACCTAATTCAAGGACTTTCCTCATAAATGGCAGATTTGAGACGATGATGTTTTTGATCCTTGAACCTTGTCATTTAAAAAGCTGTGAAAACTCATTACTTTTAGATTTGTAAGTTAACTCTAATGGAAATTAGCTCTTATGAAGCTAGCTCTATTGAAGTTAGCTCCAATGGAAGGTAGTTCTTGTGATAAAACTAGTCACATTTGAACAACATAATCTCTTTAATACATGTTGTCAGCGCTAGTTCAAACTACAGTTGTCTGGATATCACCACACAGACATGATACAGACTACAGTCTGGGTCTCGGCATATGTAAAAGCAAAAGACCAAGAATGGACAAAGAGCTCTGGTCTTATACCATGATAATTTGAAACACATGCAACAATATGTCCCACCTTCCTCTCCCTCAGAGAAGACGTGGCTTCCCTCTAAATAAACATGAGATCTACTAAAACCAGATGTCTTCGGCTTCCTGCTTATTATTAAAACTAGTTTCACTCATGACTGGGGGATGGGAGAATGCTGCATCCCACCACACACATAGGTTAACCCAAAGCTGTCTAAACTTTGAATAAATTCATTCACTTTAATGAAAATCCAACAACTCCACTATCCGTTCTAATGGAGGTGAACAGGGGTCCGCTGGTGGTTTACTACTGAAACACATGATCCGACAGCAAAATCGACCATCGATTCATCGATTCCTTTACTTTTGAGATATTAACCCTTAGTGATTATCAGGTCTAGAGTGTGTCCTCTGCTGTGGGTGGGGCCACTCAGACGGTCTGATTTGTTCACAACTTGTGTTTACAAGACTTTACCAAAGCAGTCAGGTACCCCAGCTTTAAGCCGCTTCTGTACTCTATCTGTACCGTGTCCTTCTGCTGCAGGTGATTTTCCGTAAAATCAGCGACTTGCGAAAGGAGGAGGAGGAGCGAGAGCGCGCCAAGAACGAGGTGCAGCTCAGCATCCCGCAGGACCACCCTGTGCGCACGCTCCTCCACAAGTTCAAGCCGCGGCACAACGGCAACAACGGCGGCTACACAGACGCAGAGACGCACCAGACCCAGAACCTGCAGCAGCTTGGTCACTCCAGCTCACAGCACTCTCTCCCCCTGAGCACATCCTTCCAGAACGGCACCAGCAACATCCTCACCGTGTCGCAGATCACCCCTATGCAAGAGTACAGCGCCGACAACAGAGACAAGCTCCAAGAGGACGAGAGAGAACCAGAGAAACTGAGAGAAACTGGCAAACGCGAAACCAACAAGAGAGAGAGCGACAAACAGAGAGAGAGCGACAAACACAAAGGCGCAGAAAGCAACAGTGAGGCGGTGATCCAGACTTTATCTAAACCAGCGAAAGCCCCCAGCGCCTGGATGCGTCTCAAAGGCAGTGCGGCAGACGGAGCGCGGCGAGACTCGCCTCTGACCAATCAGAAGGCGGCGTCCGCGGAGATGTTAGCGCCATCAGCATCGGCGCCGAGCGAGGAGGCGGACGGCGAAAATCTGCGAAAGACTGACTCGTGCGACAGCGGCATCACCACGGTGAAGGAGGCGCTGGACAAGACGCGGCTGCAGCTGCGCACCGACATACAGGCGCTGGGAGGTTGGCTGCGGCGGCTGGAGACACAGGTGCAGATGATCATACAGCGGCTGTCTGACGAGCGGCGAGAAGGAGAGAGAGAGGACCAGGCCGCAGTACCAGGGGCAGCAGGCAGGGGGAGCGAGAAGCAGGACATCTTCACCGTGTCCAGACCGGTGACTCCTGATGCACACAGGGGGAGGGGCTATGAGGCACACAGGGGGGAGGGGCTATGAGGCACACAGGGGGGAGGGGCTATGAGGCACACAGAGAGGAGGGGCTATGAGGAACACAAGGGGGGGGGGGGGGCTATGAGGCACACAGGGGGGAGGGGCTGTGAGCTGCAGTCAGGGCATGACAGTTTGAACATAACTAAGTATTGGCATCAAAACAATTGGTTTGAAATGATATTTAATCTGAGGTATTTGTGTATGGCCCTAAATCACATCAGCAGTCGCCTCAGAGGAGTTGTTGATTCACCAACAGCAGATCAGAGAATCAGATACAATAATAACAAACACACAGAAGCCATCGGTCCTGGATCTACAGCCTCAGTCCCACATGAGTAACAGTTGTACAAGTTGCTGTGGCGATGTTCTTTCTCGTCTCTTATAAAACTCTAGTCTCTGGGCATTTGGGGAAGGTGAGAACCTTAAGGACTCCGCTGTCAGGGGGGGGAGGAGCCATGAGAACCTTATGGACTCTTCCTCTTCACTTTTTGCACTGGCTCTTCAGGTCACATGTCTCTCTGATCACAAGACTCTGATTGTACAGAGTTAAAGCTGGGGTACGTGACTTTCAGACAGGGGTGACGTGTTGTAAACATGACACACAATAAGATACATCCTCTCAGTAGCAGCTGTAGGTAAGAAGGCTGTAAAACCCTCAGAAAGAGAGAGAGAGACCAGAGAGAGTGAGAGCATAGAGAGAGACCAGAGAGAGAGAGAACAGAGAGAGACTGGAGAGAGACCAGAGAGAGAGAGACCACAGAGAGAAAGACCAGGGAGAGAGACCAGCAAGAGAGACCAGCGATAGAGACCAGAGAGAGAGAGATCAGCGAGAGAGAGATCAGCGAGAGAGAGACCAGCGAGAGAGACCAAAGAGAGAGAACAGAGAGAGGGACCAGAGAGAGAGAGCAGATAGACCAGAGAGAGACCAAAGAGAGAGACCAAAGAGAGAGACCAGAGAGAGAGACCAGAGAGGGACCAGAGAGAGACCAGAGAGAGACCAAAGAGAGAGACCAGAGAGAGAGAGACCAGAGAGAAAGACCAGAGAGAGGGACCAGGTAACTCATGTTTTACTAACTCTCTACCAAGTCCCTGTGAGTCAAATAGTGGCCCACAGGGACTTGTTTCCTAATGAGATGAAGCCTGTGTCTTTACCAAACTCTGTCGGACAAACTTCATGTGTTATTTATGAAACAAAAGTCGGATACCCCAGCTTTAACTGCAGTAGCTCCACCTGTCCACCAGGTGTCTCTGTGTCTATGCATGTCCAGCTGGTCTCTGGTCCTCGCTGTAGAACGAGCATGTCTCCTCTTGTACCTTTTTATGAATTTTTGATGTTTTTGAACCGTAGCACCCGGAGATAACCTGCTGCATGGACCGCTTTGCTCCAAAGACTCCCACGACACACCAAAGCAAGTTTGATGCATTTTATACTGAGAGATCCTGAACCAGGTCTGAACCAGGTCTGAACCAGGTCTGAACCAGGTCTGGACCAGGTCTGGACCAGGTCTGAACCAGGTCTGAGCCAGGTCTGAGCCAGGTCTGAGCCAGGTCTGAACCAGGTCTGAGCCAGGTCTGAACCAGGACTGAGCCAGGTCTGAACCAGGTCTGAACCAGGTCTGAACCAGGTCTGAACCAGGTCTGAACCAGGTCTGAACCAGGTCTGAGCCAGGTCTGAGCCAGGACTGAGCCAGGTCTGAACCAGGTCTGAGCCAGGACTGAGCCAGGTCTGAGCCAGGTCTGAGCCAGGTCTGAGCCAGGTCTGAGCCAGGTCTGAGCCAGGACTGAGCCAGGTCTGAACCAGGTCTGAACCAGGACTAAGCCAGGTCTGAATCAGGTCTGAACAGGACTAAACCAAGTCTGAACTAGGTCTGAACCAGGACTCAAATAGATTCTCCCGTCAGCACTTTTCTGTCCTTTCTATAATTGGACATTTTTCAGACTTCCTGACCCAGTTCTGTCCAGACCTGTCACACATGGATCAGAACCTGGATCTAAACTTGGATCTAAACCTTCATTATAAACCTGGATCATAAACCTGGATTATGAGCCTGGATTATAAACCTGGATTATGAGCCTGGATTATGAGCCTGGATTATAAACCTGGATTATAAACCTGGATTATGAGCCTGGATTATAAACCTGGACTATGAGCCTGTCTATACGTTTTTTATCCTTCCCGGGTTTTGGTATAAGAACTATTACTCCTTGTTTCATCGTTGGTGGAAGGTTTTGTTTTTCACTTGATTCTCTAAATACTTCCAGCAACATTTCTCTTAACTCATTCCAAAAATGCTTATAAAAGTTTGAAGTCAGGCCATCAGAACCTGGGAACTTGTTTAGTTTTAGTTTGTGAACAGCTTTATCTAATTCATTTAGAGATATGTTAGAGTCACAGGGTTTGATAGATTCATTTTTTAGTTTAGGAATGTTATAATTTTTTATTTCATTTAAAAAAAATCTGCGTCTGTTGATGAAAAACCAGATCTGTATAACACAGAATAGAATGAAGACATTTATCCTGCTTTTAGTTTGGGGTCAGAACATTCTATACCATTTATTATTAATGAAATGATTTCATTTTTTCTTTGCCGGCCTTTTTCTAATTTGTAGAAGTATGAAGAGTTATTTTTACAGGAGCGTGGGCACAAGAAGCCCAGAGGAGAAGAGCAACACAGACGAGCAGACAAGACGAGAGGGGAAGACAAGAAGCCTTGAGCTCGGCGCTCTTGTGTTTGTATCCTTGGTTCCGGGGGGGGGTGTCCGTTGGTCACTTCCTGTTTCCGGCTCTTTCACACATAAACGCATTTCTATTTAAACAATGTTAATGAATAAAAAATGGTTATTTATTACATACATTTCAAAAGACATCGTGACTCACAATTCAATAAAGATAAATGACAACAACAGAAATCTGTCCACGTCCCCCTGCCCCACGTCCCCCTGCCCCTTCTGTCCACGTCCCCCTGCCCCTTCTGTCCACGTCCCCCTGCCCCTTCTGTCCACGTCCCCCTGCCCCTTCTGTCCACGTCCCCCTGCCCCTTCTGTCCACGTCCCCCTGCCCTTCTGTCCACGTCCCCCTGCCCCTTCTGTCCACGTCCCCCTGCCCCTTCTGTCCACGTCCCCCTGCCCCTTCTGTCCACGTCCCCCTGCCCCTTCTGTCCACGTCCCCCTGCCCCTTCTGTCCACGTCCCCCTGCCCCTTCTGTCCACGTCCCCCTGCCCCTTCTGTCCACGTCCCCCTGCCCCTTCTGTCCACGTCCCCCTGCCCCTTCTGTCCACGTCCCCCTGCCCCTTCTGTCCACGTCCCCCCCTGCCCCTTCTGTCCACGTCCCCCTGCCCCTTCTGTTCACGTCCCCTGCCCCTTCTGTCCACGTCCCCCTGCCCCTTCTGTCCACGTCCCCGTCCCCTGCCCCTTCTGTCCACGTCCCCCTGCCCCTTCTGTCCACGTCCCCCTGCCCCTTCTGTCCACGTCCCCCTGCCCCTTCTGTCCACGTCCCCCTGCCCCTTCTGTCCACGTCCCCCTGCCCCTTCTGTCCACGTCCCCCTGCCCCTTCTGTCCACGTCCCCCTGCCCCTTCTGTCCACGTCCCCCCTGCCCCTTCTGTCCACGTCCCCCTGCCCCTTCTGTCCACGTCCCCCTGCCCCTTCTGTCCACGTCCCCCTGCCCCTTCTGTCCACGTCCCCCTGCCCCTTCTGTCCACGTCCCCCTGCCCCTTCTGTCCACGTCCCCCTGCCCCTTCTGTCCACGTCCCCCTGCCCCTTCTGTCCACGTCCCCCCCTGCCCCTTCTGTCCACGTCCCCCTGCCCCTTCTGTCCACGTCCCCCTGCCCCTTCTGTCCACGTCCCCCTGCCCCTTCTGTCCACGTCCCCTGCCCTTCTGTCCACGTCCCCTGCCCCTTCTGTCCACGTCCCCCTGCCCCTTCTGTTCCCGTCCCCCTGCCCCTTCTGTCCACGTCCCCCTGCCCCTTCTGTCCACGTCCCCCTGCCCCTTCTGTCCACGTCCCCCTGCCCCTTCTGTCCACGTCCCCCTGCCCCTTCTGTCCACGTCCCCCTGCCCCTTCTGTCCACGTCCCCTGCCCCTTCTGTCCACGTCCCCCTGCCCTTCTGTCCACGTCCCCCCCTGCCCCTTCTGTCCACGTCCCCCTGCCCCTTCTGTCCACGTCCCCCTGCCCCTTCTGTCCACGTCCCCCTGCCCCTTCTGTCCACGTCCCCCTGCCCCTTCTGTCCCACGTCCCCCTGCCCCTTCTGTCCACGTCCCCCTGCCCCTTCTGTCCACGTCCCCCTGCCCCTTCTGTCCACGTCCCCCTGCCCCTTCTGTCCACGTCCCCCTGCCCCTTCTGTCCACGTCCCCCTGCCCTTCTGTCCACGTCCCCCTGCCCCTTCTGTCCACGTCCCCCTGCCCCTTCTGTCCACGTCCCCCTGCCCCTTCTGTCCACGTCCCCCTGCCCCTTCTGTCCACGTCCCCCTGCCCCTTCTGTCCACGTCCCCCTGCCCCTTCTGTCCACGTCCCCCTGCCCTTCTGTCCACGTCCCCCTGCCCCTTCTGTCCACGTCCCCCTGCCCCTTCTGTCCACGTCCCCCTGCCCCTTCTGTCCACGTCCCCTGCCCCTTCTGTCCACGTCCCCTGCCCTTCTGTCCACGTCCCCTGCCCCTTCTGTCCACGTCCCCTGCCCCTTCTGTCCACGCCCCCCTGCCCCTTCTGTCCACGTCCCCTGCCCCTTCTGTCCACGTCCCCCTGCCCCTTCTGTCCACGCTCCCCTGCCCCTTCTGTCCACGTCCCCTGCCCGCCCCTGTCCACGTCCCCCCTGCCCCTTCTGTCCACGTCCCCCTGCCCCTTCTGTCCACGTCCCCCTGCCCCTTCTGTCCACGTCCCCCTGCCCCTTCTGTCCACGTCCCCTGCCCCTTCTGTCCACGTCCCCTGCCCCTTCTGTCCACGTCCCCCTGCCCCTTCTGTCCACGTCCCCTGCCCCTTCTGTCCACGTCCCCTGCCCCTTCTGTCCACGTCCCCCTGCCCCTTCTGTCCACGTCCCCCTGCCCCTTCTGTTCACGTCCCCCTGCCCCTTCTGTCCACGTCCCCCTGCCCCTTCTGTCCACGTCCCCCGCCCCTTCTGTCCACGTCCCCCTGCCCCTTCTGTCCACGTCCCCCTGCCCCTTCTGTCCACGTCCCCCTGCCCCTTCTGTCCACGTCCCCCTGCTCCTTCTGTCCACGTCCCCCTGCCCCTTCTGTCCACGTCCCCCTGCCCCTTCTGTCCACGTCCCCCTGCCCCTTCTGTCCACGTCCCCTGCCCCTTCTGTCCACGTCCCCCTGCCCCTTCTGTCCACGTCCCCCTGCCCCTTCTGTCCACGTCCCCCTGCCCTTCTGTCCACGTCCCCCTGCCCCTTCTGTCCACGTCCCCCTGCCCCTTCTGTCCACGTCCCCCTGCCCCTTCTGTCCACGTCCCCCTGCCCCTTCTGTCCACGTCCCCCTGCCCCTTCTGTCCACGTCCCCCTGCCCCTTCCAGTCCCCTGTCCACTGTCCCCCCCCTGCCCCTTCTGTCCACGTCCCCCTGCCCCTTCTGTCCACGTCCCCCTGCCCCTTCTGCACGTCCCCTGTCCTTCTGTCCCCCTGCCCCTTCTGTCCACGTCCCCCTGCCCCTTCTGTCCACGTCCCCCTGCCCCTTCTGTCCACGTCCCCCTGCCCCTTCTGTCCACGTCCCCCTCTGCCCCTTCTGTCCACGTCCCCCTGCCCCTTCTGTCCACGTCCCCTTGCCCCTTCTGTCCACGTCCCCTGCCCCTTCTGTCCACGTCCCCCTGCCCCTTCTGTCCACGTCCCCCTGCCCCTTCTGTCCACGTCCCCCTGCCCCTTCTGTCCACGTCCCCCTGCCCCTTCTGTCCACGTCCCCCCCTGCCCCCTGTTCCACGTCCCCCTGCCCCTTCTGTCCACGTCCCCCTGCCCCTTCTGTCCACGTCCCCTGCCCCTTCTGTCCACGTCCCCTTGCCCCTTCTGTCCACGTCCCCCTGCCCCTTCTGTCCACGTCCCCTGCCCCTTCTGTCCACGTCCCCTGCCCCTTCTGTCCACGTCCCCCTGCCCCTTCTGTCCACGTCCCCCTGCCCCTTCTGTCCACGTCCCCCTGCCCCTTCTGTCCACGTCCCCTGCCCCTTCTGTCCACGTCCCCTGCCCCTTCTGTCCACGTCCCCTGCCCCTTCTGTCCACGTCCCCCTGCCCCTTCTGTCCACGTCCCCTGCCCCTTCTGTCCACGTCCCCTGCCCTTCTGTCCACGTCCCCTCCTGTCACGCCCCTTCTGTCCACGTCCCCTGCCCCTTCTGTCCACGTCCCCTGCCCTTCTGTCACGTCCCCTTCTGTCCACGTCCCCTTGCCCCTTCTGTCCACGTCCCCTGCCCCTTCTGTCCACGTCCCCTGCTCCTTCTGTCCACGTCCCCCTGCTCCTTCTGTTCCCGTCCCCCTGCCCCTTCTGTCCACGTCCCCCTGCCCCTTCTGTCCACGTCCCCAGCCCCTTCTGTCCACGTCCCCCGCCCCTTCTGTTCACGTCCCCCTGCCCCTTCTGTCCACGTCCCCTGCTCCTTCTGTCCACGTCCCCCTGCCCCTTCTGTCCACGTCCCCCTGCCCCTTCTGTCCACGTCCCCCTGCCCCTTCTGTCCACGTCCCCCTGCCCTTCTGTCCACGTCCCCCTGCCCCTTCTGTCCACGTCCCCCTGCCCCTTCTGTCCACGTCCCCCTGCCCCTTCTGTCCACGTCCCCCTGCCCTTCTGTCCACGTCCCCCTGCCCCTTCTGTCCACGTCCCCCCCCTTCTGTCACCCCTTCTGTCCACGTCCCCCTGCCCCTTCTGTCCACGTCCCCCTGCCCCTTCTGTCCAGGTCCCCCTGCCCCTTCTGTCCACGTCCCCCTGCCCCTTCTGTCCACGTCCCCCTGCTCGTTCTGTCCACGTCCCCCTGCCCCTTCTGTCCACGTCCCCCTGCCCCTTCTGTCCACGTCCCCCTGCCCCTTCTGTCCACGCTCCCCCTGCCCTTCTGTCCCCGTCCCCCTGCCAGTCCCCTCTGTCCACGTCCCCCTGCCCCTTCTGTCCACGTCCCCCTGCCCCTTCTGTCCACGTCCCCCTGCCCCTTCTGTCCACGTCCCCCTGCCCCTTCTGTCCAGGTCCCCCTGCCCCTTCTGTCCAGGTCCCCCTGCCCCTTCTGTCCACGTCCCCCTGCCCCTTCTGTCCACGTCCCCCTGCCCCTTCTGTCCACGTCCCCCTGCCCCTTCTGTCCACGTCCCCCTGCCCTTCTGTGCACGTCCCCCTGCCCCTTCTGTCCACGTCCCCCTGCCCCTTCTGTCCACGTCCCCCTGCCCCTTCTGTCCACGTCCCCTGCCCCTTCTGTCCACGTCCCCCTGCCCCTTCTGTCCACGTCCCCTGCCCCTTCTGTCCACGTCCCCTGCCCCTTCTGTCCACGTCCCCCTGCCCCTTCTGTCCACGTCCCCCTGCCCCTTCTGTCCACGTCCCCCTGCCCCTTCTGTCCACGTCCCCCTGCCCCTTCTGTCCACGTCCCCCTGCCCCTTCTGTCCACGTCCCCCTGCCCCTTCTGTCCACGTCCCCCTCTGCCCCTTCTGTCCACGTCCCCTTGCCCCTTCTGTCCACGTCCCCTGCCCCTTCTGTCCACGTCCCCTGCCCCTTCTGTCCACGTCCCCTGCCCTTCTGTCCACTCCCCTGCCCCTTCTGTCCAGTCCCCCTCTGGCCCCTTCTGTCCACGTCCCCCTGCCCCTTCTGTCCACGTCCCCCTGCCCCTTCTGTCCACGTCCCCTGCCCCTTCTGTCCACGTCCCCCTGCCCCTTCTGTCCACGTCCCCTTGCCCCTTCTGTCCACGTCCCCCTGCCCCTTCTGTCCACGTCCCCCTGCCCCTTCTGTCCACGTCCCCCTGCCCCTTCTGTCCACGTCCCCCCCCGTGCCCCTTCTGTCCACGTCCCCAGCCCCTTCTGTTCACGTCCCCCGCCCCTTCTGTCCACGTCCCCCTGCCCCTTCTGTCCACGTCCCCTGCTCCTTCTGTCCACGTCCCCCTGCTCCTTCTGTCCACGTCCCCCTGCCCCTTCTGTCCACGCTCCCCAGCCCCTTCTGTTCACGTCCCCTTGCCCCTTCTGTCCACGTCCCCCTGCCCCTTCTGGTCCACGTCCCCCTGCCCCTTCTGTCCACGCTCCCCTGCCCCTTCTGTCCACGTCCCCCGCCCCTTCTGTCCACGTCCCCCTGCCCCTTCTGTCCACGTCCCCCTGCCCCTTCTGTCCACGCCCCCTGCCCTTCTGTCCACGTCCCCTGCCCCTTCTGTCCAGGTCCCCCTGCCCCTTCTGTCCACGTCCCCCTGCCCCTTCTGTTCACGTCCCCCTGCCCCTTCTGTCCACGTCCCCCTGCCCCTTCTGTCCACGTCCCCCTGCCCCTTCTGTCCAGGTCCCCCTGCCCCTTCTGTCCAGGTCCCCCTGCCCCTTCTGTCCAGGTCCCCCTGCCCCTTCTGTCCACGCCCCCCTGCCCCTTCTGTCCACGTCCCCCTGCCCCTTCTGTCCACGTCCCCCTGCTCCTTCTGTCCACGTCCCCCTGCCCCTTCTGTCCACGTCCCCCTGCCCCTTCTGTCCACGTCCCCTGCCCCTTCTGTCCACGTCCCCCTTCCCCTTCTGTCCACGTCCCCCTGCTCCTTCTGTCCACGTCCCCTTGCCCCTTCTGTCCACGTCCCCCCCCCTTCTGTCCACGTCCCCCCGCCCCTTCTGTCCACGTCCCCCCTGCCCCTTCTGTCCACGTCCCCCTGCTCCTTCTGTCCACGTCCCCTGCCCTTCTGTCCACGTCCCCGCCCCTTCTGTCCACGTCCCCCGCCCCTTCTGTCCACGTCCCCCCTGCCCCTTCTGTCCACGTCCCCCTGCCCCTTCTGTCCACGTCCCCCTGCCCCTTCTGTCCACGTCCCCCCTGCCCCTTCTGTCCACGTCCCCTTGCCCCTTCTGTCCACGTCCCCCTGCTCCTTCTGTCCACGTCCCCTGCCCCTTCTGTCCACGTCCCCCTTCCCCTTCTGTCCACGTCCCCCTGCTCCTTCTGTCCACGTCCCCTGCCCCTTCTGTCCACGTCCCCCGCCCCTTCTGTCCACGTCCCCGTCCCCCCCCCCTTCTGTCCACGTCCCCCCGCCCCTTCTGTCCACGTCCCCCCTGCCCCTTCTGTCCACGTCCCCCTGCCCCTTCTGTCCACGTCCCCCTGCCCCTTCTGTCCACGTCCCCCTGCCCCTTCTGTCCACGTCCCCCTGCCCCTTCTGTCCACGTCCCCTGCCCTTCTGTCCACGTCCCCCTGCCCTTCTGTCCACGTCCCCTTGCCCCTTCTGTTCACGTCCCCCTGCCCCTTCTGTCCACGTCCCCCTGCTCCTTCTGTCCACGCCCCCCTGCCCCTTCTGTCCACGTCCCCCTGCTCCTTCTGTCCACGTCCCCCTGCCCCTTCTGTCCACGTCCCCCTGCTCCTTCTGTCCACGTCCCCTTGCCCCTTCTGTCCACGTCCCCCTGCCCCTTCTGTCCACGTCCCCCTGCCCCTTCTGTCCACGTCCCCCTGCTCCTTCTGTCCACGTCCCCCTGCCCCTTCTGTCCACGTCCCCCTGCCCCTTCTGTCCACGTCCCCCTGCTCCTTCTGTCCACGTCCCCCTGCTCCTTCTGTCCACGTCCCCTGCCCCTTCTGTCCACGTCCCCCGCCCCTTCTGTCCACGTCCCCCTGCTCCTTCTGTCCACGTCCCCCGCCCCTTCTGTCCACGTCCCCCCGCCCCTTCTGTCCACGTCCCCCTGCCCCTTCTGTCCACGTCCCCCGCCCCTTCTGTCCACGTCCCCCCCCCTTCTGTCCACGTTCTGTCCACGTCCCCCGCCCCTTCTGTCCACGTCCCCCGCCCCTTCTGTCCACGTCCCCCCTCTGTCCACGTCCCCCTGCCCCTTCTGTCCACGTCCCCCTGCCCCTTCTGTGCACGTCCCCCTGCTCCTTCTGTCCACGTCCCCCTGCTCCTTCTGTCCACGTCCCCCTGCCCCTTCTGTCCACGTCCCCCTGCTCCTTCTGTCCACGTCCCCCTGCCCCTTCTGTCCACGTCCCCCTGCCCCTTCTGTCCACGTCCCCTGCCCCTTCTGTCCACGTCCCCCTGCTCCTTCTGTCCACGTCCCCCTGCCCCTTCTGTCCACGTCCCCCTGCCCCTTCTGTCCACGTCCCCTGCCCCTTCTGTCCACGTCCCCCCGCCCCTTCTGTCCACGTCCCCTTGCCCCTTCTGTCCGTGTGCTCCTGAATCAAACCTGTTACACTATAGTGAATCTTTACTGTTGAATTATGTTCAAAGCTTAGACTGTATACAGATATGACAATGCTAACACAGACTGTATACAGATAGACATTAGACCGCTGGACCTATGGACCAGTCCCAGTCTGCATCCTGTACTCCTCTAGACCTATAGACCAGTCTCAGTCTGCACCCTGGACTCCTCTAGACCTATGGACCAGTCCCAGTCTGCACCCTGGACTCCTCTAAACCTATGGACCAGTCCCAGTCTGCATCCTGGACTCCTCTAGACCTATGGACCAGTCTCAGTCTGCACCCTGGACTCCTCTAGACCTATGGACCAGTCCCAGTCTGCACCCTGGACTCCTCTAAACCTATGGACCAGTCCCAGTCTGCATCCTGGACTCCTCTAGACCTATGGACCAGTCTCAGTCTGCACCCTGGACTCCTCTAGACCTATGGACCAGTCCCACTCTGCACCCTGGACTCCTCTAGACCTATGGACCAGTCCCAGTCTGCATCCTGGACTCCTCTAGACCTATGGACCAGTCCCAGTCTGCACCCTGGACTCCCCCTGGACCAAACACAGCCCTTACCTTGGTCAGGAAGACGCAGATACAGTCCATGAGCTTCTAGTACCTGTATAATCTCAATAATCTCTATATTCTGGGTTCCATAGTTTCCTTCAAAGCGGCAGAACCCTGGAGCGCTGCTGTGTGCACCGAGAGGACAGATGTGAGGATCACAGGAGTTTGGGGAGCAGCACATGCCCCACATACAGCGTGTGGACTTCTCTTATGATTCTGAAGAGGGAACGAGGAGGCAACGAGACCACGGCGTCTGCACTGGGGCTGAGCTAAACTAAATATCACAACAGTTTAATTCACAATGTAAATAGCTCTGGGAGAAATCTACAAAACTTGACCAAGAAAATAAGTACGTAATGAATTTCTTGTATATTTCTCCAAAGTGAGATCAATAAAGTTCTATCTTATCATAACGCAGCACGAGTGAACTCCAACCACATCAGGTAAACACTAATAACATGACACCACCGTGATTAGTTCAGAGGACTCTCTCTGGTCTCACTGTGGTCTCACTGCGGTCTCTGTCTCTGGTCTCTCTCTAGTCTCTCTCTGGTCTCTCTCTGGTCTCTCTCTGGTCTCTCTCTGGTCTCTCTCTGGTCTCTCTCTCTGGTCTCTCTCTGGTCTCTCTCTGGTCTCTCTCTCTGGTCTCTCTCTAGTCTCTCTCTGGTCTCTCTCTGGTCTCTCTCTGGTCTCTCTCTCTGGTCTCTCTCTAGTCTCTCTCTGGTCTCTCTCTAGTCTCTCTCTGGTCTCTCTCTGGTCTCTCTCTGGTCTCTCTCTCTGGTCTCTCTCTGGTCTCTCTCTGGTCTCTCTCTGGTCTCTCTCTGGTCTCTCTCTGGTCTCTCTCTCGGTCTCTCTCTGGTCTCTCTCTGGTCTCTCTCTGGTCTCTCTCTCTGGTCTCTCTCTAGTCTCTCTCTGGTCTCTCTCTGGTCTCTCTCTGGTCTCTCTCTCTGGTCTCTCTCTGGTCTCTCTCTGGTCTCTCTCTCTGGTCTCTCTCTGGTCTCTCTCTGGTCTCTCTCTGGTCTCTCTCTCTGGTCTCTCTCTGGTCTCTCTGTCTCTCTCTGGTCTCTCTCTGGTCTCTCTCTCTGGTCTCTCTCTCTGGTCTCTCTCTGGTCTCTCTCTCTGGTCTCTCTCTGGTCTCTCTCTGGTCTCTCTCTCTGGTCTCTCTCTGGTCTCTCTCTGGTCTCTCTCTCTGGTCTCTCTCTGGTCTCTCTCTGGTCTCTCTCTGGTCTCTCTCTCTGTCTCTCTCTCTGGTCTCTCTCTGGTCTCTCTCTGGTCTCTCTCTGGTCTCTCTCTGGTCTCTCTCTGGTCTCTCTCTCTGGTCTCTCTCTGGTCTCTCTCTGGTCTCTCTCTGGTCTCTCTCTGGTCTCTCTCTGGTCTCTGCTGGGACTGCTGGGACCTCTGAACTCGGCCCAGTCTCTGGTCGAACTGCTCCCTCTGTGCTCTGAGGACACTGAAACATCCTGGCCCTTCTCTGCTTGGCTCGGGGCAGGCAGGGCAGGTGCGGCAACAGGTGTGGTGGTTGGGCAGTAGGCCTTGCACCGTGCCCGAGACCAGTGCCGAGACGGTGGCGTGCTCCCCAGGCGTCACCACGGGCTGAGGCGCGATGGTGGCGTACTCTGACTGAGGGTCGGACAGGTTGAAGCCGTTGTGTGAGGCCCGGTCTCCTCCGGTCGCCGCAGGAACCCGGTCTTGCATTGGGGGCAGCGGTGCGCGGTATTTCTTGCTGGATGGCGGCTGAAGCGGTGACGTGGAGGGCAGGGTGGCGGGCTGCTGGGGCACGGGCGGCGCGGGGGACTTGAAGGACTTGGGTTTGGGGGAGATGAGGGGTTTGCTGAGGGTCTCTCTGGGTGGAGACTGTGAGGGTACGTGGGGGCTCTGGTGGTTCTCGGTGGTGGTTCAGAGCGGGGCAGAGGGCGAGGGTCCACTTGGGGAAGACTCCGGGCAGATTTGGAGTTTGGTGAGTTCAGAGGTCGGTACATCGTGGGCGTCGGCCTGAACGCTCAGCTCGTAATACTCCTGGATGTCTGCGGAAAAGAGAGAACTCGATTATTGTTTATTTATTGTTTGTTTGGTTTCATTTACGTTAATGAACCTCTCTTTAGCCTTGGATTAGCCTTGGATTCATTTGCATCTGACGCCACTCAGATACAGACTTCACCCATCACCCTGAACTCTCTCTGGTCTCTCTCTGGTCTCTCTCTGGTCTCTCTCTGGTCTCTCCCTGGTCTCTCTCTGGTCTCTCTCGGGTCTCTCTCGGGTCTCTCTCGGGTCTCTCTCGGGTCTCTCCCTGGTCTCTCCTTGGTCTCTCTCTGGTCTCTCTCTGGTCTCCCTCTGGTCTCTCCCTGGTCTCTCCCTGGTCTCTCTCTGGTCTCTCCCTGGTCTCTCCCTGGTCTCTCTCGGGTCTCTCTCGGGTCTCTCTCGGGTCTCTCCCTGGTCTCTCCTTGGTCTCTCCCTGGTCTCTCTCTGGTCTCTCTCTGGTCTCTCTCTGGTCTCTCTCGGGTCTCTCTCGGGTCTCTCTCGGGTCTCTCTCGGGTCTCTCTCGGGTCTCTCTCGGGTCTCTCCCTGGTCTCTCCTTGGTCTCTCCCTGGTCTCTCTCTGGTCTCTCTCTGGTCTCTCTCTGGTCTCTCCTTGGTCTCTCCCTGGTCTCTCCTTGGTCTCTCCCTGGTCTCTCTCTGGTCTCTCTCTGGTCTCTCTCTCTGGTCTCTCTCTCTGGTCTCTCTCTGGTCTCTCTCTGGTCTCTCCCTGGTCTCTCCCTGGTCTCTCCCTGGTCTCTCTCTGGTCTCTCTCTCTGGTCTCTCTCTCTGGTCTCTCTCTGGTCTCTCTCTGGTCTTTCTCTAGTCTCTCTCTGATCTCTCTGGTCTCCCTCCGTGGTTTCTACCAAAAATACACGCCAGGTGAAAACAAGTAGACAATAGAATCAAACTTTCAAAGAATCAAATAGCGAGGAACTAGTGACATGTATTTGATTACAGATTACTGTTGCAGCTTTAAGTAGATTCTCAATAATCTCTCAAAAAGGTGCAGTAAATGCCTTACACAGTGGCGTCCTCTAGTGGTGTCCTCACAGCACTGCAGCCACATTTTCATTCTAAATAAGTCAAGCTTTTCCTCAAAAGGGAATCAAGCTTACTGTATGGAACCAGGGCCAAGCTGGTACTAAAGAAGAATTAAATGGCCCTAAAATGCAACAGTAGTTACAGTGCCTTGCGAAAGTATTCGGCCCCCTTGAACCTTTCACCACATTTCAGGCTTCAAACATAAAGATATAACATTTAAATTTTTTGCCATGAATCAACAACAAGTGGGACACAATCGTGAAGTGGAACGAAATTTATTGGATAATTTAAACTTTTTTAACCAATAAAAAACTGAAAAGTGGGGCGTGCAATATTATTCGGCCCCTTTACTTTCAGTGCAGCAAACTCAGTCCAGAAGTTCAGTGAGGATCTTTGAATGATCCAATGTTGTCCTAAATGACTGATGATGATAAATAGAATGCACTTGTGTGTAATCAAGTCTCCGTATAAATGCACCTGCTCTTTGATAGTCTCAGGGTTCTGTTTAAAGCGCAGAGAGAACCATGAAGACAAAGGAACACCTTAGGCAGGTCCGAGATACTGTTGTGGAGAAGTTTAAAGCCGGATTTGGATACAAAAATATTTCCCAAGCTTTAAACATCTCAAGGAGCAGTGTGCAAGCAATTATATTGAAATGGAAGGCGTATCAGACCACTGCAAATCTACCAAGACCCGGCCGTCCCTCCAAACTTTCATCTCAAACAAGGAGAAGACTGATCAGAGATGCAGCCAAGAGGCCCATGATCACTCTGGATGAACTGCAGATAACTACAGCTGAGGTGGGAGAGTCTGTCCATAGGACAACAATCAGTCGTGCACTGCACAAATCTGGCCTTTATGGAAGAGTGGCAAGAAGAAAGCCATTTCTCAAAGATATCCATAAAAAGTCTGGTTTAAAGTTTGCCACAAGCCACCTGGGAGACACACCAAACATGTGGAAGAAGGTGCTCTGGTCAGATTAAACCAAAATCGAACTTTTTGGCCACAATACAAAACGATATGTTTGGCTTTTCTTCAGCAGGGACAGGGAAGATGGCTAAAATTGATGGGAAGATGGATGGAGCCAAATACAGGACCATTCTGGAAGAAAACCTGTTGGAGTCTGCAAAAGACCTGAGACTGGGATGGAGATTTATCTTCCAACAGGACAATGATCCAAAACATAAAGCCAAATCTACAATGGAATGGTTCACAAATAGACGTATCCAGGTGTTAGAATGGCCAAGTCAAAGTCCAGACCTGAATCCAATTGAGAATCTGTGGAAAGAGCTGAAGACTGCTGTTCACAAACGCTCTCCATCCAACCTCACTGAGCTCGAGCTGTTTTGCAAGGAAGAATGGGAAAGAATTCCAGTCTCTCGATGTGCAAAACTGATAGAGACCTACCCCAAGCGACTTGCAGCTGTAATTGCAGAAAAAGGTGGTGCTACAAAGTATTAGCGCAAGGGGCCGTTTCAGTTTTTTATTTGTTAAAAAAGTTTAAATTATCCAATAAATTTCGTTCCACTTCACGATTGTGTCCCACTTGTTGTTGATTCTTGACAAAAAAAAATATTTTTATATCTTTATGTTTGAAGCCTGAAATGTGACGAAATGTTGAAAGGTTCAAGGGGGGCGAATACTTTCGCAATGCACTGTACAGAAATACGTTGAAACGGTTCAAAACACAGAAAATGCAATGATAGAAAACACTTGGTGCATTCAGGGCAGAGACCAATGTGTATAAATGTGGTTGAATGTGGAGTGTCCTGGATCATCACCACTGACCTTAGACCCTGCTGCATCAGCGAGGACCAACTCTAACAAAAAACTCGGTGGGAAAAAGTGAGAAACCTCTGGGAGCCCCACATTGAGAAAGAACATCAGTCTCTCCTCTCCTCCCCATCCCCTCCTCTTCTGTCCTCTCCTCTACTCTATTGAGAGACTAGTCTGGAGAGAAAGACCAGAGCGAGACTAGAGAGGCCTGCGAGACTAAGGCCAGAGAGAGACTAGAGAGATAGACTACAGAGAGACAAGAGAGGCCAGAGAGAGACTAGAGAGGCCACAGAGAGAGAGAGAGACCACAGAGAGACTAGAGAGGCCAGAGAGAGACAAGAGAGGCCAGAGAGAGACTAGAGAGGCCACAGAGACTAGAGAGAGAGACCACAGAGAGACTAGAGAGGCCAGAGAGAGACAAGAGAGGCCAGAGAGAGACTAGAGAGGCCACAGAGACTAGAGAGAGAGACCACAGAGAGACTAGGGAGGCCAGAGAGACTAGAGAGAGAGACCACAGAGAGACTAGAGAAACCACAGAGAGACTAGAGAGGCCAGAGAGAGACAAGAGAGGCCAGAGAGAGACTAGAGAGGCCACAGAGACTAGAGAGAGAGACCACAGAGAGACTAGAGAGGCCAGAGAGAGACTAGAGAGAGACCACAGAGAGACTAGAGAGGCCACAAAGACTAGAGAGAGAGACCACAGAGAGACTAGAGAGGCCACAGAGACTAGAGAGAGACCACAGAGAGACTAGAGAGGCCAGAGAGAGACTAGAGAGAGAGACCACAGAGAGACTAGAGAGGCCAGAGAGAGACTAGAGAGAGAGACCAAAGAGAGACTAGAGAGGCCACAGAGACTAGAGAGAGACCACAGAGAGACTAGAGAAACCACAGAGACTAGAGAGAGAGACACAAGAGAGGCCAGAGAGAGACTAGAGAGAGAGACCAAAAAGAGACTAGAGAGGCCACAGAGAGACTAGAGAGAGAGACCATAGAGAGACTAGAGAGGCCAGAGAGAGACTAGAGAGAGAGACCAAAGAGAGACTAGAGAGGCCAGAGAGGGACCATGCAGCGAGAGACTACAGAGACCCCAGAGAGAGAGACCAGAGAGAAAGACTAGAGAGAGACCATAGAGAGACCAGACTAGAGAGAGAGAACAGAGAGAAACCAGAGAGACTCTAGAGAGAGACAACAGAGAGAAACCAGAGAGAGACTAGAGAGAGAGAACAGAGAGAAACCAGAGAGAGACTAGAGAGAGAGAACAGAGACCCTAGAGAACAGAGAAAAACCAGCCAATACCATGTGGTCTATATTTTTGACCTGTGTTGGTGATTTCAATGGTTTTGTTAAGTCTCTGAGATGATGCTGTTGTGATTTAGGGCTATACAAGAATAAATTGAATTTACTTTAATTACTTCCAAGACGGCGGAAGCTGTAAGCATGCCATGATATTCTCACATATAAATTATTGTTGAATAACATGAAACACCATTAAACCTCAATGTAATCTCATTCATCTTCTGATTGACTTCTCTTCTTCAATCACAGTAGCCACGGCAACATGATTCACTGAGATCCTCAAAGTGTTGACTCTCAAAAACTGTATACTTTCAAAAGATCCCCACTTGGCTTTGGCAGAGACTAGAGAGAGACCAGAGGAATCAGAGAGAGACCTGAGGAATCAGAGAGAGACCAGAGGCATCAGAGAGAGACCAGAGGTATCAGAGAGAGACCAAGGGAATTAGAGAGAGACCAGAGGTATCAGAGAGAGACCAAGGGAATCAGAGAGAGACCAGAGGAATCAGAGAGAGACCAGAGGTATCAGAGAGAGACCAAGGGAATCAGAGAGAGACCAGAGGAATCAGAGAGAGACAAGGGGAATCAGAGAGAGACCAGAGGAATCAGAGAGAGACCAGAGGAATCAGAGAGAGACCAGAGGAATCAGAGAGAGACCAGAGGTATCAGAGAGAGACCAAGGGAATCAGAGAGAGACCAGAGGAATCAGAGAGAGACCAGGGGAATCAGAGAGAGACCAGAGGAATCAGAGAGAGACCAGAGGAATCAGAGAGAGACCAGAGGAATCAGAGAGAGACCAGAGGTATCAGAGAGAGACCAGAGGCATCAGAGAGAGACCAGAGGAATCAGAGAGA